TAAAGTTCAACCAAGAGCTGACTTCAGCACTCCCTCCTTGCCTGCTGCTGACCTGAGGATCGAAATCACATCAAATCACATGCTTAGATGGACCGAAAAATAAGTGGTCAGAGGCCAAACTGAGTGGCAACATTCCAACTCTGAAGAAATTATAAAACTAACCAAAATAAATTAACTGGTAGGAAGTGCCAACAACGGGAACCATAGATCCGTTTCATCTCATAAAAGCAGCAGCCTCTTAAGTCCCTTTCTTGGCTACATTCAGGCCAATAAAGAAAAAAATAATATGTAAGCCATATATGTAATTATAAATTTTCAAGCAGCCACATTAAAAAAAAAACAGGTAGAATTTATTTGAATATATTAATTTAACCCAATATATCCAAAATATTATAATTTCAAAGAAATTTTTTTTTAAAAAAATATATTTTTTTAAAGTAAGAGTGGTTTTGTTTATTTATTTATTTTTGGCTGCGTTGGGTATTTGTTGCTGCGCGTGGGCTTTCTCTAGTTGTGGCGAGCGGGGGCTACTCTTCGTTGCGGTGTACAGGCTTCTCGTTGCGGTGGCTTCTCTTGTTGAAGAGCACGGGCTCTAGGCACACAGGCTTCAGTACTTGTGGCACATGGGCTCAGCAGTTGTGGCACACAGGCCTAGTTGCTCCGTGGCATGTGGGATCTTCCCAGATCAGGGATCGAACCCATGTCCCCTGCATTGGCAGGCGGATTCTCAACCATTGTGCCACCAGGGAAGTCCCAAAATTATTTTTTTTAATATTTTAGTTTATTTAAACAATATCATTTATGTGTATTGTGCTGGCACAAATATGCAGAAATATTTTTAAATTGTTGAGACAGTTTCATTCTTTTTTCATATGAAATCTTTAAAATTCATATATATTTTATGGTTCCAACACATCTCAACTTGGATGCTAAATTTTTATCAGAAATATTTGATCCAGGTAGGCAGCCACATATATTTGTTTGTTGTGAATAGTATTCCCAGTGGAACAAGTATCCTTTTTAGTTCAAGGTAATAATTCTCTCTTGTATAAGAAATTATTACCTTTGTTTGCAGCGTACCCATAAAAAGGGAAGTTAGGACACATGATCTGAAGGGAAAGACATAGGACAAAGATAGAAACCAAAACAGCAACGCAGGAGTGGTAAGTTAAGCCCTCTGCTATAGAGAGCCACCTAGGGGCCATAAACAGAAACAGCAAGTTATTTTTGTTACATTCAAATAGATTGTTCAATCACCTGATTTTTAAATTTAGGATTCTAAATACAAAATCTTAATAAATTCAGTTACAAATTGCTATAATTAATAAATGAATAAGGGAAGAAAAGAAGAAAAAGAGCAAGAAAAAAAAGAAGTGCAGATGTATATGGAAATAGGGGGGTAGTGAAATGCCAACAAAAGGATTTCATGTCAGAAAGAAATAAAAAGGAGGAAAAGACAAAGTATAAAAGAGAAATGGAGAAGAAACTCATAGTGAAAGAGAAGGGAAAAAATGATAGGTTCTCCAAGTACAGCAAAAAGTTTATTTGGATTAAAAGACCTGGTCTCAGTTGAATCATTAACTGCTAACTGGGTCCAATGTCACTGGATAATCACTTCACTCTGGGCTTCACAGACTCACTTTAGCTGTAAAATATCTTCAGGACCATCTCTAGCTAAAACATTGTCTAAGTTGCTTGCCTGCCCCAGGAATCTATCCTATAGAAATAATAGCTTGAGGAGGGTGGGAGGGGGAAAAAAAAAGAAAGAATGGCTGGAGAAAGTAAAGATATATGTACAAGAATGTTGACTGGAACACTGTAATAGCAAAAAAAAAGAACATGTAAAACTAAAATTAAACAACCTAATCAGAAGAGCAGAAGGGACTGACTGAAAACCCTACAGCCATGTAATGGGATACTAGGCAGCTGTTAAAAATAAGGAAGTATCAATATGTTCTAGCCAGGAAAGCTGTCCATTTGCCATGTGAAAAAGCAACATGTATAAAAGCATTAATCTTCTCCATGAACATATCAGTGTTTTTTAACATTCTGAACATGTATATGCATGTATATGTGTATGAATGCTTAGGTAGATATGTCTGTATAAACTTGGAAAAAAGAAAGGACATATAGATACATTGGTTACCTCTGAAGAACAAGATTAAACTGGCAAATAAGGACTTTTAATATATATGCTTTTTAAAATTATGGGACTATGGATGAATTTTACTATTTTATAGCTTTCAATAATTTTCTAATAAAAGTTATCAAGGTACCTACCATTAACTATGGAAGAAAAACATCTATTTTTCATGTGTCATAAATGTTAGGCACTTCTGTTAGGCAACACCTAATCATCTTACTTTGCATCTTCTCCAGCTGCCACCCTCCAATCCAGTTTTTCAAACTGTTCCCTGAACATACTATTTTCACTCCAACATTCATGACTTGGCTTATGATGTTTTCTCCAACTCCCAGAAAGATCTTGTCTTCCCCGATCTTCAATTATCCTTACTTTATTTTTATCTTTATTTATTATATAGCCTGTAAGCCACAACTACTGAAGCCCATGCACCCTAGAGCCTGTGCACAGCAACTACTGAGCCCACGTGCAGCAACTACTGAAGCCCGCATGCTCTAGGGCCTGCGTGCCGCAATTACTGAGCCCACATGCTGCAACTACTGAAGCCTGTGTGCCTAGAGCCCGTGCTCCACAACAAAAGAGGCCACCACAATGAGAAGCCCACGCACCACAACGAAGAGTAGCCCCCACTTGCTGCAAATAGAGAGAAAGCCCCAGCACAGCGCAGCCAAAAAAAAAAAGAGAGAAATAGATGGCAATACCATAATAGTAGGGGATTTTAATACTCCACTTTCATCAATAGATACATCATTCAGACAGAAAATCAATAAGGAAACATCAGCCTTAAACAAGATACCAGACCAGATGGACTTAACAGTCACTTGCAGAACATTCCATCCAAAAGCAACAGAATACACATTCTTCTCAAGTACATGTGGAATGTTCTCTAGGACAGATCATGTGCTAGGCCACAAACAAGTCAATAAATTTAAGATGGGAATCATAGAAAGTATCTTTTCCAACCACTGTGGTTTAAAATTAGAAAACAATTACAAGAAGAAAACTAAAAACTTCAAGTAAGTGGAGATTAAACAACATGCTACTGAACAACCAATATGTCAAAGAAGAAATCAAAAGAAAAATCACAAAATATCTTGAGACAAATGAAAATGGAAATACAGCATACCAAAACTTACGGGATACCACAAAAGCAGTTCTAAGACAGAAATTCATAACAATAAACACCTACATTAAGAACAAGAAAGATCTCAAATAAACAAACTAACTTTACACCTCAAGGAACTAGAAGAAGAAGAATAACCTAAGCCTAATATTAGTAGAAGAAGAAAATAACAAAGATTAGAGAGGAAATAAATGAAATCAAGATAAAAAGACTATAGAAAAGATCAATGAAACTAAGAGCTGATTTTCTGAAAAGATGAACAAAATGCCTACACCGTGTTTTCTCTCACCACTTCATTAATTCCAATTACACATTTATTATACCTTATCACACTATCCTCCATATAACATAACTTCCTGCCAATTTCCAATCTTTTCCCTCTCTATAGTGTATTCTAAATAATCACTTCTAGTCCAGTTTCACTAATTCTCTTTTAGTCATGTATAATCAGCTATCAAACCTATCTTTTGAATTTTTAATTTTAATTATTTCATTTTTCTTTTCTATAAATCCTATTTGTTTTTTTTTTCAATGCCTGTAATGTCCCTTTTTGCAGTTTCTTATACCCCTGAGGTATTTCCAAGCTTGCCTTTTATTTTTTAAAACATAGCAAGCATGCCTAAAACTAGATCCAATAAATCTCGTTTCTGAGGTCTGCAGAGATCACTTTTTACTGTTCCTTCTTTATCCTGGTCCTCAACTATGGTGCCTTGTTTCTTTAATGCTTGATTATCTTTAATTGCATGTCCTTGAAAGGTTAGTTGAAGAGTTCTCAAAGCCTTCCATAAGGAAGATGCTTTCCTCCAAAAGAAAATTTGCAGTTGCTTCTGTTAAGTGTCATGGTTAACTGGAACCAACTTAAGACTCACTTCATGGTCTGATGCTTCTTTGACCACCCAGCTAAATGAGAATTTTGGCAGCAATCCCTGTGGTTTATTAATTCTCAGTGAAAGGTTTTCTGGTTATTTTTTTCTTCTCTTTTTTTTCTCCCTTGCTCTGCTCAGTGACAAAGCAACTCTCCCTGTAATCTACTGAAAGTGGGGAAAAGAGGACATAGGGGAGGCGGGGTAGTTTTAATTTTGTGTTCACCCTTACCGAAAAGGTTTACCCCTAACCAGTTTAATGTGGAGAGTTGGTATTTAACTTCTGATCTTGGGGGGACCTGAGCTGTGACTACTTTCCTCTTCATCTAGGGGGCCATCAAAATTGAAGTTCACAGCTTCCTGAGCAGCGAAGGCCTTCAAGGCAAAAGCAGCTTCAAATGCTGATCTTAATTTTCCGGCATTCACCAGCAATTCCTCTCTCGTTAGCTCTTCAGTGTCTTTAGGATATCTTGTTTCTATTCCATTCAAATATTTTAGTTGTCATTAGTAGGAGAAATGATTCAAACACCTGGCTTGCCATTACCAAAAACAGAAGTCCCAAACCTTATTAACGCTCTTCAGTTTGTTGAACGGAAATAATTTTTGAATGAATGAATGAATGACTTTCAAATTAAACAGACATGTCACCCTCAGATTCAATCATCTAACCTGTCTGAACATCAGTTTCACAAAATAAAGGGGATGAACAAAATTATCTCTATGATTCTTTATTGTCTAAAATAGCAGGATCTATTGCATATACATGCGATGTCACCTTTCAGCTTTTGCAGGCTCCATTTATGGTAGTCAGATGGGCAAAGTTTTCTCACAGTGTTACAACAATTCCAAGACAAGAATAAATGAGACTCACTGTTAATCCAAGGGATCCCTTTTCCATTTTCTCAAATCCAAGAGCCAAGACACAATCTGCCAGACCTTGAAAGAAAATGTAATTAGTTTGAAAAATTAAATTTCCAGACACCCAACAAAATATCATTAAATACTTCAATTTAACTAAGCATGTCAGTTTATACAAAATGTAAAAACATGGTATACTCCTATAAAATTTTTAATAAGTGAAAAATTACAGAGAAAATTCTTATATGCTTCTAAATAAGAGGAAAAATTAATAAATTATATAATTCTTTCTATGATTCTCAGTGTTAATAAGACTTTTGATTAATGTGGAAATATGTTCCAGTGAAGAACAAATATAAATAGCTAATTTTCAATTTTTAAATATTAAGTAAAATTTTAAAAAATTTTAAAGCAACTTGATGAAAATCTCAACAGAATTATTTTTGGAGGGAGGGGGCACCTAAAAATAATGTTAAAGTTCAACTAAACAGCGAAACAAGCAGAATTGCCAAAATTTTTCCTAAAAAAGAGGGGAAAAAAATAACAACATAGGGGGCACAGGGGATACTAGTATTATCCAATAGTGAGACATTATAAAGCTCAAACAATTAAAACACCAAAGAGTAGAGCAATAATCAACAATCAATCAGAAGAAAGAACAGAGGGCCTAATAAAAGAGCCTAAATATTTGGAAATATAGACTATGATATATATCCGAGAGAACTGAAAATATATGACCACAAAAAAAATTGTACACAAGTGCTTACAGCAACATTATTCATAATAGCCAAAAAGTAGAAACAACTCAATGTCCATCAACATGTAAATGGATAAACAAAATGTGGTATATCCATACAATGAATTATTAATTGGCCACAAAAAAGAATGAAGTACTGATACATGCTACAACATGGATGAACTGTGAAAATATTATGCAAAGTGAAAGAAGTCACAAAAGGCCATATATCATATGATTCCATTTATATAATGTTCAGAATAGGTAAATCCATAGAGACAGAAAGTAGATTAGTGGTTCCCAGGGGCTGTTGGGAGAGGGAAATGGGAAGTGACTGCTAATGGGTACCACTTTCTTTTTGGGGTGATAAAAATGTTCTAAGATTAGATAGTGGTGATAGTTGCATAAACCTGTGAATATACTAAAAAACACTGAATTGTAAACTTTAAAAGGGTGAATTTTATGCTATATAAAGCACCTCTCAATATAATTGTTTTTTGTTTGTTTGGTTTTTGTTTGTTTTTGTTTTTGTTTTTGTTTTTTGCGGTACGCGGGTCTCTCACTGTTGTGGCCTCTCCTGTTGCGGAGCACAGGCTCCAGACACACAAGCTCAGCAGCCGTGGCTCACAGGCCTAGCCGCTCCGTGGCATGTGGGATCTTCCCGGACCGGAGCACAAACCCGTGTCCCCTGCATCAGCAGGAGGACTCTCAACCACTGCGCCACCAGGGAAGCCCTAATTGTTATTTTTTTTAAAGAAATACATTATAAAGCAATCCCTCTGATGGTCGTATGGAGAAATAATAAAAGGGGGGCAATAACTCCACATCTATTTAAGTTTACTAGACAAATAGGCACTTCTCACCACCCTGAATCAGTTGCCGGGCCATAAACAAAGCCGTTGAACCAGTAGAACAGTTATTGTTGACGTTGATTATAGGAATTCCAGTCAGTCCCAAACTGTGATAGATAGCCCTCTGCCCACAGGTAGAGTCACCTATATATTAAAAAAAAAAAAAAAAAATTTATATATGCAACATGAGAATTATGGAGCTGCAAAGCAACATAATACTACATTATAGTTTTTCCAGTGTTTTGTCTTTGTCTAATATACAACATGGGCAGAACAATAAATATACTATTGACATCTTACTCAGAAACAGTTTTGGCATGAAGCATCATTTACTCTGCAAATATAAAAATTCTCAAAACACAGAATATATATGCACTTTCTTTACACAATACAGAGGTAGGAAAGTAGAGACATGACCAAGTAATAGCAAACAATTCAATCTGGCTAGGGCTACATGACAGGCAGCAATACTTCATGTATACTGTCAGATATAAATCTTTTAAAACTAAACCAATTGGGCTTCCCTGCTGGTGCAGTGGTTGAGAGTCTGCCTGCCGATGCAGGGGACACGGGTTCATGTCCTGGTCAGGGAGGATCCCACGTGCCGCGGAGCGGCTGGGCCCGTGAGCCATGGCCGCTGGACCTGCCCGTCCGGAGCCTGTGCTCTGCAGCGGGAGAGGCCGCAACGGTGAGAGGCCCGCGTACCGCAAAAAAAAAAAAACTAAACCAATTAATTAAAAGGCCATGATTTTTCTCTTCATGTAAAATTTTGTAACTTCAAAAAGTTAAAAGATTCTGCATGCCAGGGTATTCCAGAGGAATGTAATCCAAGTAAAAACACATTTGACTCCCTTTCCCAAGGAACATGTCCACCAAGGCAGACATGCTGGAGCAGTATGATGGAAACACCTGAAGATACAGACACTCCAGAAGTCTTCGGGGAAAACAGTAAGGTTCAGGACCTCCCTTTCATAAATACATTGTGCATCTCTTTGAACTAGTAAATTTCCCTTCAAGAATTCTCTTGATATCTTGAAATCTCAAAGAAATAATCACAGATATAAATAAAGATTCATCTACAGTAATGCTTACTATAGCCTTTTATAATAACTAGAAATTAGAAATAATTTAAAATGTCCAAGAATAGGGTATCATTCCTACTGCTAAATAAACTGTAGCAAATCCCCAAGACTAGAATATCATGAGGTAATTTAAAATGCTGTAAAAAGACTGGGGACATTCTAAATGTCCATTAAAAGGGGATAGATTAAATAAATCATGATATATCTATTCAATGGAACACTATGCTATCATTAAAAGAGACCAAGAAAGCTCCTTATGAAACAATTTGGAATAGTCACCAAGAACTACTAAGTTAAAAAGAGCAAAATATAGGGACTTCCCTGGTGGTCTAGCGGTTAAGACTCCACGCTCCCAATGCAGGGGGGCCTGGGTTCAATCCCTGGTCAGGGAACTAGACCCTGCATGCTGCAACTAAAAGATCCCACACGCCACAACTAAGATCCTGCACACGGCAACTAAGACCCAGTGCATCCAAATAAATAAGTAAATAATTTTTTTAAAAAAGCAAAATACAAAATAATTTATATATTATCCTACCATGTGTGTAACAAAAGAAAGGGGGAGGGGGTATTTATACACCCACACATACTTATTTTTATATGGATAAATTACCTATGAAAAGATACACTAGAAATTAGTGAAATTGCACTACTATACATAAAATAGATAAGCAACATGGATTTACTGTATAACACAGGGAACAATATTCAATGTCTTATAATAACCTATAATGGAAAATAATCTGAAAAAAATATATGTAACTGAATCACTTTCCTGTACACCTGAAACTAACACAATATTATAAATCAAATATACTTCAATAAAAAAAAGAAATTAGTAAAATTGGTTGTCTAAGGAAAGGGAATCATGAGACAGGGACACAGGAATAAGAGTGAGACTTTCCACTACATAAACATCTACCTTTTGTATTTTTTTTTTTTTGCAGTACGCAGGCCTCTCACTGTTGTGGCCTCTCCCGTTGCGGAGCACAGGCTCCGGACGCGCAGGCTCAGCAGCCATGGCTCACGGGCCCAGCCGCTCCGCGGCATGTGGGATCTTCCCGGACCAGGGCACGAACCCATGTCCCCTGCATCGGCAGGCAGACTCTCAACCACTGCACCACCAGGGAAGCCCTACCTTTGTTATTTTTGTACCATGTAAATGTTTAATCTATTCCAGAAAAAAGAAATTTGAAAAATATTAATGATGAAATGAAAGAAGACTGAATCACATGGGAAATACTGAATACAATAAAATGAGAAAAGCAGGTTACCAAAAAGTATGTACCTAGGACCTAAATTGGAGAGAAAATTATGTGCGCATACATATTCACGCATATTCATACTCACTGAAGGACCTACACCAAAAAAGTAATGGTAATAATCTCTGGATAATGAGATTACAGGTGACTTATTTTTTCTTGCGCTTTTCTGTGTTTCCTTTTTTTAATTACAATAGTATATATCATTTTTCTAATTAGAAAAAAATCTTAATGTTATTAGATACAAAAAATCAATAAATACAAATTTTAAGACAACAAAGAAAAAAGATAAAAAGTGTTTTAATTTAATAAAAAGTGTACTGTTTTGGCAGTACAATAATGGCAAAAAAAAAAATATATATATATATATATATATACTAAACTAGGCTGACACATAAGGGAAATCTAAAAATGATGAGAATAAGGCCCTGAACTCTGAGTTTTGAGGGTTAAAATTCAGAAATTCCTCTGCATTGTTTATGTAGTTGCTGTAATTTTTAGAATATATAGTTTACTACGTACCATAAACATAGCCAATACATGCCTGTTCTACTGCAGAATAAGGGATCTGTGCATCCGCTAAAGCCTTCTGGCCTATAAAAACAAAAAAAATTATCACATAGCACTTTGAGTAAAAATAAGTTTAGAGTTTTCCCAGAGTAAATCTACCTCTAGTTAGTCTATGTTCAATTCAAATGACAAATCCTTCATCAAATCATCTCAGACTTTCAGAAGTTGTCTTACCTTTCAAAAGTTATCATTTCTTCCTCTAAGCTATTGTAACACTTTTTCATACCGCCTTTTTGATATTTAACATTTCCTATTCTAACTGTACACCTAACTATAAATATCAATATATTAAATCTCAATAGTCTTAAAGCTCCTTAATGTCGAGGTGTGTTATTCATCTCTGTGGCTCTATCGTACATCTAGAGGACAAAATAGGATAGAATGTTATTGTTGAGCAGGAGTGTGGGAGCACTCATATGGTCATCTTACAAAGCCAGGATCAAGAGATGACCCTGTCTATGGAACAAGAAATGAAGCTTTAAGGATGCTATCCAAAGATACAGAAATGACCAATGGAGGAACTGATAAAAATTATGAAAATAAACTACGAAGAGGAGAGCGGAACTTAGAGATAAGATGTAACCTAAATCCTCATCTACCATAGTGAGAAGCAAACAGATGTCTAAAACTGATAAGTCAAAAACTGGAATAAATGTGGTGGAACAAATATTTAGAGATATGGAGATAACCACCAGAAGAACTAAAGCCAAAACCGTTAAAAGAAGTTGCCCGCTGGGGAAGGGGCCTGGGAAGTATAAGCCATCTGTGTGTGTGTGTGTGTGTGTGTGTGTGTTTTAACCATATGAATGTGTTACTTGGAAGTTTTTTTTAACTTAAGAAGATATATGATTGATTATGGGATTGGTTTAGTCACACTAGTTATCTTTTCCCACTTAATGTATGAGCAAAACAATTAATGTTTTACTTATAATAATGTTGATGAGATTATGTTTAAAAGAGCATTCTCATATGCTGCCACTGAAACTAATAATATAAACAGTCTGAAAAATAATCTGACGAGAGTCTTAAAACTGTTTATGTTCATTGTTCCAGTGAGTCTACTTCTAGGCTTTGTCCTCAACAATAACTAGAGGTGAGAACAAATATTTGTGTTCAGCAAGAAATTTACTATAATTCTTCTAAAATATCAGAAAGTTGTGAAGCAAATATCTAACAAAAATTATGGCATAAATATATAATGAAATATGTAAAAATTAATTTTTTCCAGTTTTAAGTGGAGAAATCTTTATAATAATAAGTTTTAAAAATCAGGATACAAAACTACATATAGAATATGATCCCAGATAGCCGCAGAAAAAGAAAATTAAAATAGAATACACCAAGGGAATGTAAACTGATACAGCCACTATGGAGAACAGTATGGAGGTTCCTTAAAAAACTAAAAATAGAATTACCACATGACCCAGCAATCCCACTACTGGGCATATACCCAGAGAAAACCACGATTCAAAAGGGCACATGCACCTCAGTGTTCATTGCAGCACTATTTACAATAGCCAGGCCATGGAAGCAACCTAAATGCCCATCGACAGACAAATGGATAAAGAATATGTGGTACATATATACAATGGAATATTACTCAGCCATAAAAAGGAACGAAATTGGGTCATTTGTTGACACGTGGATGGATCTAGAGACTGTCATACAGAGTGAAGTCAGAAAGAGAAAAACAAATATTTTATATTAATGCATATATGTGGAACCTAGAAAAATGGTACAGATGAACCGGTTTGCAGAGCAGAAATTGAGACACAGATGTGGAGAACAAACGTATGGACACCAAGGAGGAAAGCGGCGGGGGGTGGGGGTGGGGGTGTGATGAATTGGGAGATTGGGATTGACATGTAAACACTGATGTGTATAAAATTGATGACTAATAAGAACCTGCTGTATAAAAAATAAATAAAATTAAATTTAAAAATTTAAAAAAACAGAAAACCAATTTAGAAAAATAAAAAAATAAAACATTAAATGAACAGTGTCTACCCGGAAAACCAACATCAGTTAATCAAATTTCATGAACTTTCCTTTTGGGGGCAGAGATTTCTGATTCCCTGTATAGTAATATCTAAATACTGAGTTGAATGATGGAGTTGAAATGAAACCTAATTTATGAACACTGAGTGCACTAGGTACTTGTAGAGACAAGCAGTGTCTAATTAAAAACCACAGTAACCCTTTTTGGGTTGCTGGCAGCAAGCTGGCAAGAATAGGAGGAAGGGAAAGGCTTCCTAGGAGGAGGACTGTACCTGAACAACTTCATGGGACCACCGAGCTCCCAAGGTCTCCATGAGTGGGAAGCCTGTATTCCCCAGCACTCCCTTAAACAGCTGATACCTAAGCTTAGACTGCTTGGCCTTGAACTTAAAACACCTCCTTTGACCCAGCTTCCTGTTAAGGTTGCAAGGCTGCTCCACAATCAAGACAGACCACACAATAAACTACAATGTTCAAGGATCTGAATGTTCTATATTACCTGCTTCCTTTGCCAAGTCAGGGTAGTCTCTTGAATTCTCAACTCCAGGCTTTGTGAACTAGAAATACAGGAGATAATAAATAGAAACAAATATAGTTAGATTTTTTCACAACAGAGAACTGCAGAAATTCATTCGTCTATTCATTTAAACAAAAACATGTTGAGCACCTATCATGCTTCTGGACTCTGATAATAAATAATATACAGTTCGTACCCTCCGGGAGCTTAGCATCTAATGGAAAATAGGCAATTACACCACAGTGTCATAAGTACAGAATGATTTGGGAGAGACAATTACCCAGCTTTGGAGGACTAGAAAGGCTTCCCAGAGGAACTGACGTTTAAATTAAGTCTTTAAGTCTTTAAGTCTTTAAGGATGAGTAGAATTAGCCAAGTAAAAGAAAAGGAAATTCTAGAGCAAAGGCCTGGAAATGACAGAATATAACAGTTTTACATGCAAACAATTTTATATTGCAGAGGCTGAAACATGATTTGAAATGGCAAGTGATAAGGACAGAAAAATGACTGAGGACCAAACGATGATAATTACTAATATTTATTGGGCACTTACTGTTGTTACTCACTGTACTAAGAACTTCACATGTATTATTAACTTGTTTAATCCTCACAACAGCCCTCAGAGGTAGGTACTACTCTTATCACCATTTTAAGATAAGAAAACAAGGGCAGAGATTAAGTCACTTGCCCAAGGATACACAGCTAATAATTAGTGGAGCTGAAACTTCAACCTGGTTCTAGAGCCAATTCACAAGTGACCTTATATGCCCTCCTATGACACCTGGGCTTTATCCTGAAGACAGTGGATTTAAAAAAAAAAAAAAAAAAAAGACTGAAATAATCAATGAGATACACTACAACACCAAACACTGACAGGATGTGGAGCAGCAGGAACTCTCATTCATTGCTGGAATACAAAAGGGTACAGCCACTGTGGAAGACAGTTCGGCAGTTTCTTACAAAACTAAACATCCTCTTAACATATGATCCAGCAGTTGTGCTCCTTGGTATTTACCAAATGAGTTTAAAACTTATGTTGACACAAAAACCTGCACATGGATATTTACAGTAGCTTTATTTATTATTGTTTAAATTTATTTATTTATTTATTTTTGGTTGCACTGGGTCTTCATTGCTGCACGTGGGCTTTCTCTAGTTGTGGCAAGCAGGGGCTACTCTTCCTTGCGGTGCATGGGCTTCTCATTGCGGTGGCTTGCCCTTGTTGTGCAGCACAGCCTCTAGGCGCACAGGCTTCAGTAGTTGTGGCATGCGGGCTCAGTAGTTGTGCCTTGCAGGCTCTAGAGCACAGGCTCAGTAGTTGAGGCGCATGGGCTTAGTTACTCCACGGCATGTGGAATCTTCCCAGACCAGGGCTCGAACCCGTGTCCCCTGCATTGGCAGGCGGATTCTTAACCACTGCGCCGCCAGGGAAGCCCTATAGTAGCTTTATTTATAATTGCCAAATTTGGAAGCAACCAAGATGTCTTTAACAGGTGAAAGGTTAAATAAACTGTAGTAAAACCAGACAATGGAATATTATTCAGCACTAAAAAGATATGAGCTACCAAACCACAGAAAGACATGGAGGAATTTTAAATGTATATTACTAAGTGAAGAAGCCAATCTGAAATGGCTACATATTGTATGATTCCAACTACATGACATTTTGGAAAAGGCAAAACTATGGAGACAGTAAAAAAAAATTAGTTGTTGTCAGGGACTGAGGGAAGGGAGGGATGAAGAGGCAGAGCAAGAGGATTTCAGGGCAGTGAAACTATTCTGTATGATGATGTAATGTATACATGTCACCACATATGTGTCTAAACTCATAGAATATACAACACCAAGAGTGAACCCTAATGTAAACTATGGACTTTGAGTGATAATGATGTGTCAATGCAGGTTCACTGACTATAACATATGTGCCACTCTAATGCTGATCACTGATAGTGGGCAAGGCTTTCCGGCAGGGTCGGGGGCAGTGAGTATGTAGGAACCCTCTGTACTTTCTGCTCAATTTTGCTGTGAACCTAAAACTGCTTTGAAAAATAAAGCCCTGCTTTAAAAAGAGAGAGAGAGAGAGTCTGGGCCGAGAAGACGTGCACGTTAGATCATTCTAAATGCAATGTTGAGAAATGAATGAACGGAGCAAGGCTGGAGGCAGTGAGACCAAATGGCATAATTCTGAAATAGCCCAAGTGAGAGTTAACTAAGATAGCAGCAGAAAGAATGGAAAGAAGCAAAGAGACTTGAGAAACATAAGTGAAGTAAAATCTACCAAATACAGTGATCAATTAGATAAGATGGAGTGGTCTGCTAGTCAGAGGTTGTGCTAACGAGAAATGGCTTTCAAAAATTTTTAACTGCAAACCACGATAACATACATGACCCAGTGGACACATAGTGAAGCAAAATTTTCATGAAATACTTATCCTTGTTATATTGGTACAGTATTTTTGATTCTACTTCAATTTTTTTAATGCTAGAGGCAACCTTCTAAACAGACGTCACTACCCCTGCAATGGATCACAAAACCCAGTTTGAAACACTGTATAGATACTAGACTTAAATGCCACACTTTATTACACAGTGCCAAAATACATCTGTTGAACTGAACCAAAACAAAACGTTTAACATTTGTTCCTATCTCTTACCCACCCCAATTCTTCATAACTTCTGAATTAGGGAATCCTTCATAATTCCCTAATTCAGCAGCCCCAACTTACCTATTTCGCCTGTAGTTACTCTTCAGTTCACTAATTACAATCAGAGCATGTAGTATAGAGAGCACTTACTGTAAGGAGAGAGGACTGTGCTACTAGGCTCCACCAAGTAATACCTATTAATAACCACATTATCATCCAGGTAGTGAAATGACTGCACTTTCTCATTTCTTACTGAAATCAAGGCAGTTTTTAAAAGATTAGTCAAGCAAATAAACACATACAACATTACTCCTTCAAAATGAAAAGCATGTTTAGGTGGAAACTACCAAATGTCCATTAACAATAAATTGAATATATTATGGAATGTTCACACAATGGACTATGTTACCTCAATGAGAATGAACAATCTATAACTACACATAAAATTAAGGATGAATCCCAGAGACATAATGTTGAATGAAAAAGCCAAAACTAATCTATGATATTAAAGGTCAGAAGTCAGGATAATGGTAACCCTTTGCAGGCAAGGAGTCAGTGACTGGAAGAAGGCACAGAGTAATTTCTGAGGTGCTGGTAATGTTCTGTTTACATTTGCTTTTTAGTTTTTATTTTTTTAATATAAAATAAAAATAAAAACCTACCTCAAGGCCTATAATAAAAACAGCAATCTTGTTCCACTACTCTCCACCCACTAGTCTTACTTGCTCCCAAAACATCCATTTTCAATTCTTTTAGATATTTCTTCTTTTATAAAATGCCATGTTTCTGAATATTCTTATACTATTATTTCTTTATCAATGTAAGAAATTATATCATAGTCTCTAATAAGGGCCAATGAGAATTAGGTCTCTCAGGCCACTTCACATATACATTTACAGTTCCCCCATCCTCCTTATACAGTTGAATCACAATTTTTTTTATTAAATCAGTATGTAGTGCTTACCTTATAAAGTTAATGTTTCTTAGTATTGGGCTAGGTTGTATACTATGATTACATGTGCTTTATTGTACAATTTTGTTTTGCTTTGTTTTTCCTGGAGTTAACTGCCTCATTTTTAAAGTTTTAACCTTTTTATTGTAAATAACAGAGATACAGAAAACCACACACACACACACACACACACACACATCTCCTAATGAATTATTTTAAGGCAAACACTCTTGTAACCATTGACAAAGATTCTCTCCTTTACCAAATTCTAGCCAAGCTCCTCTGAGTCCTCTTCTCTACTAGGTCTCAACCTTGGCCTAAAAACTTAAACACTAACGTAGTTTTTATGAGTTCTAACTTGCTCAAGGCCAGGTCCCTAGGAGGACCCTAGTCCCACTTAAAGCACCTGCCTGAGAAAACTCAAGGCTGTCAAAAGAATTTACTGCTTCTTCCAGCCAACACCTGAATACAGGGCTGGTCTCCCAGTCTCTGTGAGAGGGTAGGAGCCTAAGCTTGGGTAAGCACCAGTTAGCAAATCCAGATGGGTTTCATGTGAACTAGCCTCCTCTCTCCCCACTTTATGTAAGTTTTCACTTCCCTGACCCTACAGCTGGCCCTCTGCATCCGTGGGTTCTGCTTTCACAGACACAGTGGGCCAACTAAGGGGACTGAGCGTCCATGGATCCTGGTATCCAAGAGAGAGCCTGGAACCAATCCCCCAGGGATACCAAGGGACTACTGTATTGTGTCCCTACTCACCACCCTCCCTATTCCCTTATTATCCCTTTAAAATACCCAGTCACATCTGTATAAAGTTAGTTCAGTTCACACTGGACTTTTTCCCTTTTGCAATAGCATATTACTAATTAAAATCTGTCCTAACACTTTACCTAGTGTCTACCTTTATCTTTGACACCAACCACCCAGACTAAAAAATTGAACCCTGCCTGCCCCTCCACAAACTCCTCTAAGCACTCTGTTCCAATCTCAACCCCGCTCCACCCCCAAAGTAATTATTATCCTGATTCTTACAATAATCACTTCCTTTTAGTATTTCATAGTTTTATCACCCAGGTGTCTATCTGTAGACACTATTGTTCAGCCCTTTTTTAAAGTGTTTATAGGCCTTTCAAATTCTCTTTTAATCTACAGGTTCCCCTCCACTACTTTCTTTTCCTCTCAATACATCTGTTAAAGAACCCAGAGCATTTGGCCTGTAGCTTCCCGCAGTCTGGATTTTGTAGATTGCATACTCATGCAGTTCAACATGTTCCTCTGTTCTCTTTATTTCCCACACATTGGCAGCTGGATCCAGAAGCTTGCAGACTCGCATTCTATCTCCCTGACAAAACTATAGGTAGTGCTGTATTCTTTCATAAGGAAGCATATAACATCTGATTATTTTTTGCTCTTTGTGTTTCTAACAGTTGTTGGTGCTCAATG